CCTTGCCTGGCCGGTCAGTTTAGGCGGACGGCCATGTCTTGTGTTATAGTCACGATTATGCACCACTTGGTGTTGGTCTATCATGTAAAATCTCAATAAAATGCAGAAAAAGATTTGGCAGTGATCTTTGGCAGTTCTCTCTGCCAGCGCTACTGAGGACAGTGACCTTCAGCAATCAAAAGGATGGTTCATTTTTTTTAATTAAAATTAGCATATGTGGTTCTCTTAAGTAAAGTGAACCACAAGCTTGATCTTTGTTCTGAAAGAAAATCTGAATTGCTAAAAGAAATAAATAAATTTTACGTCTATTTCAATGCTTTACTTCCACAACAACAAACAGATGCTTTGGGGAAGTAGAAATAATGGAACATGTGTGGGTAAGGTTGTGATGATTGTTATTTACATGAAACATAATAGCTTGTTTAAAAGTCACTCTGAATTTTAGCCTTTTCTATTGTAACCGCTTTGCTTCTTCATACTCTTCCAGTTCAACCTTTTTTGTTTTCTGCTTATTTCAAAAGGTCCTAACCTGTCAAATCAAAAGGGGCAGAAAGCGACTGAGGCAACTGAAATAAATGTAACAAAGTTGTAAGAAAATAATATGCAATAAAATCTAATTATATATATATATATATATATATATATATATATATATATATATATATTCAAAATTCAAATTCAAATAATTTGAATTTGGGATTCAAATTATTTTTTTCCTCATAATCAAAAATACACAAAACTACCATGGGAGAAAAATGATGCAACTTCATAGGTATGAAATGATTTGTATACGGTATGAAATAGAAGAAGGACGAGGCAAAATCAAACGGGTGTAGGCGTACAATAGGGTGTATTTACACAGAGCCATTCTAGTCAAAGGCCTATAAATCTTTGCTCCTGAAATGGAAGAAACTAAAGTTATTTCTGCAGCTAAAAGTTAGAATGCAAGGAAAGGATTTTTTTTTAAGAAGATGGCGAGTTGGAGAAGTTTTACCTGCCCACATCCAGGGGCTGTGCAGACAAAGGGTCGATCATCCCCCATCTCAAACAACGTTCTGCAAGGGACAGCAAGAAACAATATGGCTTTTTAGGACCACTCAGAGTAAACCATTACCCCGAGCCCTTTTCTTTTCATCTATGCAGTCTTTTGCTTACTTTAGGGCCAGAAAGGTCTGGATATTTTAATGAGGAACGGTTAAGAAAATAGAGCTACTTTCAAACTTTCAGGATTTAAATTGATGATAGCTTACGTTTTAAGAGGCATGTTGACTATCTTAAAAGAAAAATCTGAATTTCTAGTAGCTCCGAATGCATTTGAAAAATGGGCAAAAACTCTTGCGTACAGTCCAACAAGGTGAAAATGTCTCCAGACGGGCAGCACTGATAAGGTGAAGCAAATAACACCTCATGTTTCTTCACTGTGGAACTTGCTAGTGGGTGGGGTATACTGGGCAGTAAGTGAACATATCGTTTTTGAACTGAATGTGTTAGAAGCAGAAAAGATTGTCAAGCATAAGGATTTGAGTAAGTTTAAAAAGGGCCAAATTGTAATGACTTGTCAGTGTCAGAGGATCTGGTGATCGTCGATGAAGGCAGGGAGCGAACTTGGGCTTGTTGAGTGGTCTAATCCACCAGAGGAGCTACTGTAGCTTAACTGATAGGAAAAGGTGTCTAATATGCAGGGAATCCCAGTTTACTGCAAATGCAGTAGGTTTGAATAGGTGCAGAGTGGTCAGAGTGCACATGGTGACCCCCGACAGCTGAAAGAACTAACAATGGCCTACTGTGGGTCTAAACCAGACTTTGAAGCAATGGAAGAAGGAGGTTTCAACTGGATTCATGTACATCACTTAAGCAGGTAAGCACTAAAAAGCAATACAAACTTTAAATATTCTGGGCCACCATCCATGTGGATGTTACTTTAACGCGTACAACCTACCAGGGTATTGCTGAAGCCCATATTTACACTGTCACTGAAAATAACATTTTATGATGGCCGTTTCCTCTTTCAGCAGAATAATTCACCCTGCCACAAAGCACAAGCGGGTTCTGGGGTGGTTTGAGGTGTAGTCTAGGCCTCCAATTCCCCAGATCTTAATCCAATTGACCATCTCTGGACGTTCTAGTCTGATCCTCTGTGACTCTGCAGCAAAGACTCTAGTGCCAAATATCCATAGCACACATTCAGGGGTCTAGTAGAGTCCAATGCTTTGAAGGGTCAAGGCTGTTTAACACTGTAATAATGTTATACCTGATTAATATATGAGCTAATGTGATTCACTCTGTTAGTAGTAAATTTGAACTGTGCTCCTATTGTCTAGATCAATAGGTCAAATCTGGTTAAATTAAGGAAACGAACCTTGCACCTGTTGAGAAGGAAAACTTGTGATATCACGGGAAATCCCCTGAGCTCACCTGTGACAGAAATCGCTTGAACCCGTCACCTTAACAACTGGTTGTAAAGGAGGGACAGACAGGCCGAGCACTATCGGCCTATCTGAAGGGTTTTGCTCTGGACTCTGGAGGATGATCTGGGACAAAACGTTCAACGATGAGGCAGCACAGCCAATGCAAGCTACCACGCAACCCTTTCTGTATTGCCATCGAACCGGTCAGCACCGATTTTACTGTATTTCTTCGGGTATCGGACAGCAGACAGATTGAGCTATACAAAGCATAATCTTTGCTTGCTTTGACTTTCTCAAGAGATGTTCCGCAATGTGTCCTGTCCGCACCACATTTATCACTTTTATTCAAACTAAACGCGACATTAGAGCGAACATGTAAATTAGCGTCCTAGAACCAGAGATAATTCAAGCCAAATACTTGTAAAAACATACATATTTTCACACTCACACATAAGCTAGCTGTGTTCAAGCTAACTGCTAGGCGAAGCTCCATTAGCTAACTTGGAGAATTTACACTACACGTTAGCAAGCTAATGCTAACGATAGCAGTGGTTATAAACTCTCCTGTCTGAGTAAGAATATAAAATGCTTCATAAACACCAACAGTGAGCTCCGCTTAATGCGAGATGTAATGTTACATGATGTGAAATCCGTCCAAACTCACCGGACGTTTAAAGTGCCTCTTCACTCCCCCTCCCTGCTCCGGACAGCGTTGCTGCTGCCTGTCCGTTGTTGACACTCTGACACTTGCATTAGCCAAATCTCGCGACAGCTCGAGCTCGATGTTACGTAACAGGGTTGCTCGGTCGAGAACGTGTAATTTCTATGCATAAATCTAAAACAGTGTTTTTAAATCTTCAGACTATGCAGTTTTGTAAATCATTATTGGATGAACCGCTTATGAATGCCGTGTCAATGTTGAGCACCAACAAAATCTAAATGTCTCTGGTGAAGACAAACGTGACTTCAGCGGTTACATAATTTCTTAGTTATTTCCGGAAGTTTATTTGGCAGAATATTATGGTATGTTTCTCGAGATTTGTAAAAAGCGAAAACTTCCAAGATTTTAATACAACCCCATTCAATATACATACACACAACAAATCATAAAATCTTACCGGAAGTATTTCATTTTTACACAATATTTTATTGAGAAACCAGTGTATAATTGATAAACGAATCCCTCCCCCCTTTGTTTTTAGACAAGAAGACTTTAATGTTTGAAGTACAATTAACAAATTTGACAGAATTGACATAATGAACAAGTTTAAATTTTGAGTTTGATAACTGACCTGAATGTCTCAAATGAAGAAAGACATGAGCTGGAATGAAAACAAGAGCCCCTGATAAATACATTATTTAATATTATTTGAGAATGAACCAGGAAATCTTGCTATTTGTGAAGTGTTCTTTCTGCTGAAACAGAACTAGCAAAGGCACAAGGTTTGAGAAAACATGCTTTCACAATTAAAAATTAAATTTTTTACATCTTGGCCCTTTTGTCCTCCTTTTAAACAATTCGATCAGAACAAAATAGCACAAAAACAGCATTCAACCTTCCACCCCACATCTTTTTAAGCATTACAAAACTCAAGATCATTTGAAATACATTTCATTGACCACCTCCACAGGTATGTTCAATGTTGAGACGAGTCAACTCATTTACTGTAAATAGTGAACACAATTAAAATATTGAATCAAGCAATAAAAAACTGCTTAGACATAACAGATTCAACAGCAATGACAACCCTGAACACAAATCTCTACTATATCATAAAAGAATAAAAAACAGGTAGGATGCCACAAAAAGAAAAAAAACAAAAAAAGAAACACAAACCAGTAGTTGCAGACCCCATAGCATTCACAGCCTTTTCATCTCATCATACAAATGCAAACTATTAACAGTTCAGACACCAAATGGTAAAAAAAGAAAAAGCTAGTTTAAAAGTTAAGTAGAGGAAAAAAGGGGTTGAAAAACCTACTTATCCTTAAGGTCCCTTTGATAAACACAAAAGTGCAAAAACAATTATGAACCCTTGATTTTATATATATATATATATATATATATATAAAGCTGTTCTAAAAACATGTATTTACCAAACTATTCATTTTTTTATACCATTACTATATATGTATGCAACAACCCCAGGTAAAGCTCAACCTAAAGTTAGAGAATCTGATACAATACACGAGTTTTTCCTCTACAAGTACTGAGTAATCATATCACAGCTTTTGCTTTTGTTTTGGCAAACAACTCATGGTCATCCTCCAAGTACAAAATCAACTTCTAAACATATAGATCTTTGTTTTCAGAAACATAAACATTCATGAACTAAGGAAATGGAGGAAAACGGCTACCTGATAAACATTTTTCTTAAATAAGATTGAAATTAGAAACCAAAGAATACATTTGGAGGAGGGGGGGGGGAATGAATTGTAACATTTATAGATCAACCAAGGAGAGAAAACAGTAAAGGTTTTACAAAATGTTTTTTTTGCTACATTTTTGGCCAAGGTTGCTTACCACTAACCATTTAAATTTAAAAATGAAATGTCAAAATAGTAAAGTATTGTCAAAGAATATAAATGATACAAACAAAAGTACATTCAACATTATTACCTAGTCAGAAATGAAAGTGGCTATTTTGCCTCTACTAACAAGTGGTAAAGTTTCATATTTTTCTTTATATTCTGACACTTTGTCTGGCTTTTGTACAAAATGCAAGTGAAAAATAAATGCTTCATAATTATTCAAGCACTAAATCAGCTCTAGCAGAGACCCTTTTCCAAATGTTAACACTGAACTAATATTTACAGCACCAAAGAAAAAAATGCCAAAAATCCCCCAAAACTTAAACGAAGTAATTTTCCAAATTCAACACCAGCACAACTTAAAATCATAATGTCAACATTATTGTTACCCTCAAGTTTTAATTAGTAACAACTTCACTATGCATCTGCTCAGGACTCGGCCAGTACCATAACATAATCAGATGTTCTACATTTACAAAACACTTAAAAGATCAACAGAAAAATAAGATGGGCCTTCTTTTCCAATATTTACCAACTATATTATTGTGATAAAATACAGCTTGAAAAGCAAAAATACAAAACTAAAAGAAGACCCACCACGTTTCCTCATGTACACTCCATCTATGGAGGCTTCCATAACCTTTGGTTATTATGTTAAAAAGTTGTAATCCATGATATTCAGGATCACTGATGGTGAAATGAAACCAAAGTCAAACTTTAAAGTTTTCTGACATTAAGGTTTTTCAAGATCAGTGCTCTGTTTCGTTTCATTATTCTATTTAATGCCTTTTATAGTCCTTAAGACAATGTTTCCACCAGAGGAAATTCTGAACTTTTGTCTCAAAATTAATGTATTAATGTGCCAGACTGCAAAAAAAAAAAGTTTCCTGCAATAAGATGCACAACTTGCCAGATCAGACGACAAACACAGTAAAGTATGACAAAGGATTTCTGCTGACAATACGTTGCTCATCTACATACAAGTGAAGTACTGCTGTATTAAATATCAAAGTTAAAAATAATTCTACAATTAACCTTTAAGGGGTTTAATATAGCACTCAGCCTTGAATTCTGTTGAAATACACATCTTCCTTTAAGGAATATCGACTTAAAGTCTCTGAATAATTTTAGACCTCATGATTCTTTGACAAAATCTGTCAAAAGAAATATATTCATCTGTATTTACATATTTACACATTTTAAATAAGGTCCGTAAGGTTCCAGCTTCAGTTATTCTGCTGAAGCGGGGGTATGTTCTGTTCTTTGCCGCTGTGTTTGGGACCCCGCTGAGGGGAAAACCGCTTTCCAGCGTTCAGGCCTCTCTGATGCTCCCGGATCTTCATCCCTGAACCTTTCGCTCTGGCGTGACCAGCTGCACCTCTGAATGGACGTGAAGGCTGCCGAGGAGGTTTATCTCCAACTCTCTCGGGACTCTTTTTAGAGTTCAGCTGAGAGTCCTTGACGGTGTTGACCTTGAGCTCCTTCAGAGGGTGGTCGGGTGAAGTGGCAGGAGGGGACGGCGTCTCTGCTAGCGGTGGGTCTCTGGCTGGCCTCTGGCACACCTCTGCATAGCTAAGCTTTCTTGGCTCCTGCTTAGAACATTGAGAAATTAAAAGTATTTATTTAAAAAAAGCTAAAAACAAACTCAAATCAAGCAAATAAAACTCAACTGAAACAGATGTGAGAGAATATGACTGGCACATTTGGAGATCAGGCCTACCAGCTCTTGCTCTGATGTTGAAGATTGTTCAGCAGAAACACTTTTGCTGCTCGTGCTGGAATCGTGTTCTGGAGTGGTTTTAGAGTCACGTTCAGTGGATGGAGGCAGGTTTCTCTGTGCAGCAGCTGGTTCGGTTTTATCTCCTTTTGTTACTGTTGGACAAGCACTAAAGATGCAATAAAAAAGTGGATGAGTTGTTATTTTAAATAGGCTATAAACATGTTAATTATTCTTTTTAAACCACATAATTACCTTGGTGCTGGAGTAGTTGCTGGTTGTGCCTCAACAACAGTGGGTTTAGCAGGCAGGGAGGTAGATTCCTGTTTGCTTGCAGTTCTTTCAGAGTCTTTTGAGTTTTGGCTCAAGCTGTTCTCCTGGTTTCCTGCCTGAAATACATTTTAATTAATAGATTAATAAAACAAAGTACAATAATGCAATGAAATCCAGCGATCCTTCTTCAACGTGTAAATGTTATGAAGAGGGATAGTCACCTTGCTTGTGAGCCTCAGGCCACGAACAACATCAGAGAGGCGCACCTCTGTCACGGTTTCCCCCTGAACAGGAACCACAGATCCTGGCAAAGGAGGAAAACTTGAAGCTGCCAGATCAAAGTTAGGAGGGACTGCCTTGACCTCCATCAAAGGGACAGGTTTCTGTTTCATTTATGGGAAAGTGAAAAAAAAAAAACATTCATGAACAAAGATTTCAGTAAGTTCAATGCATTGAGATAATTTTCAACATAGAAACTTTGGAGTAAAACAGAAGAAGAAATGTTCACCATAGAATGTTCATCTTCTCTTTTCCTCCTCATGCCTCTGTGGCCATTTCTCCTATTTTAAAATTTAGATTAGAAGTGAAAAAAAAAAAACAGAAAAAAACAATACATCAACATAATGTGCAACAACTTGTTTTTTTAAGTAAAACCAATAGTGAAAGTCACTCCTATATATCTTTTTTTCCTTTCTTTTTAAAGTTAAAGGTAAAAAAAAAAAACAAGTCGTGGACAATATATCAAAACAACTGCACTGAACAATGTCACATTTTTGTTGGAAAGGCTGACATTTACACGTTTGTTCGAATATTAAAGAGCTCAGCTAACCTGTCTCGCACAGAGCGGCTTTGATCTCCATTGGATATGGAGGACATTGAAGAAGAGTCTTTAAAGTGGAAGGAAGAGGCTGGCTGTGGTTTAATGCCGGACAGAGTCCTTAGTGCCTGGATGTCCTGTGGACTCACAGGGCCAGAGATGCCATCCACCATGGTTCCTAGAGCCAAGTTAGAAGAAACAGCATCGCCTGGTCGAGGGTGACCTTTTATGTGGTTTCTAGGGTACAGAAAACAATGTTTTGTTTGTAAAAGTAAAAAGAAAAATGCTACAAATATGATTCAAAAAGGTCAAGGAAAAATATTAAGCAAATGTATATTAAAGTATACAGGTATGTTGCAAAGCACTTATGAGCAAAATAATAAAGGGATATAATTTTAAAGGAATCTACACACATGACTGCCTTCTTAGAGAATAATCACATTCAACACGACCATAAGAACCAAACTGTTTGGAGATAAACACTAAATAGCAATGGAAAAGGAAAAATGGTCTAACATATTTTATTTATTTTTTTTACAAAATTGACTTCAAAGCCTATCTTTTTCTAACACAATGTTTGTTAAATTACCTTCCAAGGCTTTATTGTTTGCTCTAGGCATTAAGAAGATTGTACACAGCTATTTAAAGATTGATACAGATCTATTTGTCGTTTAAACCTGCCATCATTCAGCTCAAACATAAAGTGATGAAGCTTGAAGCTTAAAGAACAAACAAGCTGTCAAAATAATTAATGTCTCTATTTGATGACAAAAGTTATTCAAGACCAAACATGAGCGATCTCTATCATAATTTGCAGGTACCTGTTCCTGCCAGCAGGACGGTGGCCGCTGCTGGAGTTTGGTTTGTAGTTCCCTGGATTGCTGTAACCATTCATGAATCCTGCACTGGGGAAGGGAGCCTGCAACAACGACATAAAAAATCAAATAAATAAAAAAACTCCTCTACATAAAGCACATAAAGAAAACAATCACATTAACTGGTTCAGAGATTGTTTGACTTTAAATAAGAATTAGATAATAGTTCTCACCAGTGGTGTTTCAAAGTGTGGCACGATGGAAGGGTTCCAGGTGGGAGACACCACAGGATAAATGGGAAACTCCTGCTGAGGGTTGTACACCTGCTGCATGTACACCGGAGATACATACTGGGCCTGAGGCTGGGCAAGCTGCTGATACACTCCTGAGTCCATGCCGTGGAAGCCATTTTTTCCAAAGAATGTATTTATGGCTTTAATGCGAGCCTACAGAGAAGACAACTGGTTAAGCTTTCCAATACACAAGAACAACATTTGATAATTATTTGTGACAATTAGTGCTGTTGCTTTATTGTTGTTATTCCCCTCAGATCTCATAATCTCACGGTCATGAGGCCATAAAACACTGCACTAACAAGGGGGAGAGAAGGAGGAGAAGGGTAAGGGGACAAAGAGAAGAGGATGAGAGAGGATGGGAGAAAAGCAAAGATTAAGATTTATGTAGAGAAAATGAAAGGTCCTCCTGGATAGACAGTGAATATGGGTCCTTCCAAGCGCGATACTGATCATCACAGGGGCAAACAGAGGCCTTGAAGGAGGATTCATATACCTTGGACTTTTCCATATTATAACCAAAGATTATATGTATTTTTTATGCAAGTGACAGGACATAATTCTTTTTTTCCTCCAAAAAACAAAATCCTTAAAACTGTGGTATCCCTGTTTTATTCAGCTCCATCAATTCAATGCCTTGTAGCTCCACCTGTGGCTGCTGTTACTGCAGGTCCCTTTTAGTGTGCAGGACAAAAATCTATTTTGGTCTAATCTAAACCGAACATGTTCTCCCTCATGTTTGCCTCATCTCCACATGTCTCGTGGAAAGCTGCATACAAGAACTCTTCTAGCTTTCTTATTGCTACCTTTCTATAAAAAGGTTGACATTTTGGAAAGCACAGGTAATAATTATCCTGTCAACAGCTACTACAAGATGAGCTGTGCATCTCAGCAGCTTCAGAGTTGCCACTGACCTGTTGGCTGCTTCTCCCACTAATGCTCTCCTTACCCAACTTGCCACCCAATTGTGCACTACTTTTTCTATTTTTAGATTGAACAGCATTCTGTCAGATTCTGTCACAGTTTGGAATATTGTTTTATAATTTAACCTTGATTTATACATCTCCATAACTGTATCCCAGACTTCTTTTTTGCTGTGTTCCTTGGTTTTCATGATGATCCAAGGCCCTTTCAAAACAGCTGGATTTACGCCCACATTTAAATAGACACAGATGAACTCAATTTACGAAATAGGTTGCTTATTGTGTAGGCATATCTTATGTAATCCCGATAAAATATACTGAAGAGTGTGGTTGTATTGTGACATCTATGAAACGTTTTAAAACAAGCAGCTTTCCAAGGCATTGTAGAGTATGCACACCTCATGAACTTTATAGATTTAATCTGATTCATTGTGGATGGGAGGGAGTAAGCAAGGGAGGAAACAAAATTCTATAAAATGCTCAAGATTCACATTATGATGTTAAAACTATAAATCTGGAAAGTTTTATCAACTTTTCTTTTTCACTCTTGACCAATACTGGCAAAAATGCAGCTCACTTTATCTGGTTTCTATCCAAATACATCCCAAGGTAAACCTGAGGCTAAATCACACAAGCCTTGCCCTGAGGACATTCATGTGACAGCCCATCTAATGCTGAACAGGATTAACCATCCAGAGCTACATATACAATTTTTTTCACGACATCTAAAAAAGCAAGTTGGGTTTTAAACTTGGCAATGTAAATTATTTCATGTCATTTACCATAATGGGTTTCCCCTGGAACATTTTCACTTCCTCTCGTAGGTATTTGTATGCCTGATCAAGAAAAAAAGAGAGAGAAAAAAGAGGGAACATATTTTTACTAAACAGCAAATTCAGTTTTCTTTTCTTATTGGTTCAGTGACTTATGTCTCCTAAACCAATCTTGTAACGTTGCAAGATTTTCAAAATTTAAGTCATTAGTAAGTATTAACATGTTTACTAATAGTTTTCTACAAGCTCCTAGTGTTTTTAATAGTAACCAGTTAGAATGCTGAAAAACAGATGAAGCATTTATTCCAGAAGAAAAACAGAAATAGGACAAATATCAAACCTAAGAAATTAGGTAAATGATTATTAATGGGAACGCGTCGCATACCTGCAGGGCATCCATGTCTGACTGAAACGTTATATACCAGTTGCTATTGTGAGCAAACTCAACACCCAACACCTTTGGACAATTTTCACTCTTGAATAGATCCTCTACTTCCTAAGAAAAGAAAAAAAACAAAAAAATTAATTTATTTTCTATCCCAAACAGAGAACACTACTTAACCCACAGAACAATGGGTAACTTTAAGACACAACAAAGACTAAACAAGCCCAGATTTGCCATTTTCCATATTTATAGCTTGCAAATACTTTTTAAACAAGTTGTAAGCAAGTAAAATCTTATGGCAACATTTTGCAAGTTTAACAGTTTATTTGCACAATCCAGAAAACTGCTTAGTATGCAGTATTATGTAATCTTTACCTCAACTGGTGTAGTCTCTGGCACTTCTCTTAAAATAATGATGCAGCGGCTGTGGTTAGGTCGAACTTTTTCACCAGCTTCATCAACTTGCACTAAAGGAGACGCTGTAAAGAAAAACACATTTTAACATGAACTTTATATTAATAAGAACATGCTAGATTGAACAACATCTAAATAAAAGTTTCACATTAGTGAAACTATGTAAACTGATCTCCCTGTGTTGCTAACACAGATTTTCTTTACCTTTTTTTGCCGCTTTTTTTGTGACAAAGTCTGTTACTTTCTGGGACTTTCCACAGAAGTGGAAATAACAAAATATGTTTATTAAAGCAAAAACAACATTTGCTATTTGACATATCAAATCTGTTAGGAATAAATATACTAAAGTTTGTTCAGCTACAAAACATTAACACATTTTCTACTAATTTTTAAAATTATTTATAGACAACACTGCTGTAGTGGAGAGTTGGGTAACCCAACAACGGATCCTGTTGTCCGTTAACAGACTTTGCCTAACTGAAGCCACAGTAATTATGCCATGTATTGTGACATAACCAATTTGTGTAATTTAAGTCAAGATTCACAGCTTCTTTATAGGATGCACAACTTCTCTTTCTCAGTTTAAAGATTTCATCTTGAATAAACTGATATTAAAGCCAACTGTTAAACACCAATCCCCTGGTTCCTTTAATCTGGTTACAAACCAGTAAGGTTTCTTGCCAAACTACTGTCACATGAGTCCACACCACTTTCATTCAATGACACATGACCAGAGTGGTACTGATAATGAAAGCCAAAGGAAAACTTTTTATCTTTAAGTGGAGAGAAAACGCCTGTCGGCTAAAGGTTAGCATAAAATACTGGCCATCTCTAACAGCGATCAAAGTTTACCATACTCATTAATAGCCGATGTCATCAATATGCAGGACAAGAAAAAAAAAAGATAAAGCAACAGCCTGGAAATCACATCAAGCTGAACATAATGTTTTCTGCAACTTAAGTCTATATCTTCGCTAGAACTACAAAATATGTCAAATCACAGTGACATTGCAATATCCAGTTTTAGGTAGGTTGGTATATTCCAGAGGTCAATTATGCAATCTCAAACTTCCAAACAACCCGTCTTGTTTTATGAATATACACAAAATATGCCTACACGTTCCTGTGCCATGCACAGGCTCAAATGCCATTTAAATACTATGCAGAGTACAGATACTTAGTGAAGTAATAAAAGTAAAAGTTTGTTGACATCATTCTACTTCCTTCCTCAATTTCTGCATGAATTTGGCTGTTAGATGGTTGAAGATTTTCAGCTTGTGCTACTCTTAGTGAGATTTTCCAATTGGTTAACACCAATAAACCTTTACATTTTTAAATTAACAATATCTTAACTAGCAAGAGTTTATATTTATTACATGGAGAAGAGTAGCACTGGTACCTCTCAATACTTCTAGGATTAGATCCATGTCAGTGGTGAGCGCTTTGATGTCCTCCATGCAGGCAACAGTCCAGATAGGAATAAACTGATCACTGTCCATCTGGGATATCAGGTACAGATCCTTAGAGAGGTTCTCCCTGAAAGAATAGAACATTTACATTGTGTTTGTATCATACAGACTAATGTTTCTATCAGAAGTGGATTATAACTGTTATTTGAAAATAATATATATATATATATATATATATATATACACACATATACATATATACTTTTAAGAGTAGTTTTGCTCAACCTTACTGAATACTTAAGCAATACTGTCATGAAGTATTGCTACTCTTGAGTACAATTCTTGGGTGCTCTACCATATTATTAACAACAAAACAATGCTAAAATGTAGAAATGGTAAATGTTTCACCAAGGAATGGTTGAATTGAACAATAGTAAGATATACAACAATTACTTCTTTTATGACTAAATCCTTTGATGAATATACTTTACAACACACTAAATAGGGTTAGTTTCCCTGTTGTTTAAACTATTTACACATGCATGCAAAAGCCTATAGTGATGCAACAAGCAGGATTTACCTAGAAAAGCAGAACTCCAGTCTTTTCTTTAATGACTCTCGTAAGCTCTCTTCAGTCACTACTTCTTCCTTAGACAGTTCAGTGTCTATGGCAGAGTCGCCCTGTGCATCAAAGACCAAATATCCCAGGTCTGTATGCTCCACATCCTCAGTTGTGGAGTACTCATCAGGGCTACTCAGGAAGTCAACAGCGTATCCTTTACTCTCCAAAGAAAGAACGTCTGAGAAACCTACGACAGGAAGGAAAACGGCAGAAAGATTGGGAAATGACTGCTATGTTTTCAGACCAAAATAATCCACCAAAGGAGTCACAATTTGAATTCACCGCAGACACCTAAGGCCAAGAGTTAACATTTCTTAATAAGCTGTTTACTCATAATTATCAGCAAATATTGTGTCTTCACCTGATAAAGCCACTTCTCAGTCTCATACTCTCTAAAGAGACAAATAAGTGGCTCACACTGCCTTATCAGAGAAAATTATACCAAACAAGACCCATACCATCAGTCATCTCAGGGGGGGAAGAGTTGGTGTGGAGCCAAGAAGAATCCTCCGATACTTCTGGGATGTCATTTTGTTGGGCTGGGATCTCTTGCCACACTTTGGCATTGGGGTTAAGACTTGTTCCCTTGGTGGTAACCTGCATAATAGATATCAAAGTAGCATGGAAAAAAATTATTTAGTCGGAGTTTTCAAATGTTTTTTGTGCAGATTATACATTTTTGCCATTCTACTCTTCATAGACCAATACTGGTAAAATAAACTGATACTAGCTGTTTAGTTACATTATTTGCTCCAACAGAGTTTATAGTTGGCTGGTAAACTGCCAGTTTTTCCCGACTGGACACACAATAGCTGAAAAAGGTTTTACTTAAAGTAAGGGAGAATATAGTAGCTTCAATCAGACAGCTGATTGGCAGTATGCAGCAACAGATGGGGAAAGGGTACAACTGAACTACTATACAAACCAAGAAAAATTACTCCACCTTCTTTGGCTTTGGCTTAACAGAGAGAGCCTTTTCTCTCTGTTACACCTCCTTGAACTTGTCATTTAAAATACGCTGTTGGGAGCTGAGCAACCTTGGATTATAAAATTCTGCTGTTTCATCACACATTCGCTAAATATACCACATCCAATCCAGTGAATGAAGTAACTGGACCCGCAAATCCAGCTTTACACACAGACGCACAACCCTGAGCTTTTATTGGTCAGCTTCACTCTTCCCCGCCCCTCTGTGGTCACATGGATCAATACTCTGAGTTGATCCGCCTCTGAATTTCAAGCTTGCCTTTCACAACGCTGTGCAACCTGTCACCCAATCCCCCCCAAAAAGCCAAACACAAACATGAAGATGGATTGGTTACGAACATATTTTGAAAGCTTACATGTGAAATAAAATTGTATGCTAGCCCGGGTTTCAAATCTGAAGGTTTACTTCTTTTTTTTTTTTAAACATAAGAGGTCTGAGTTTCGGGAGGAGCACGTGGCGCCGTCGTGCTCCTGTTACTTTTAAAACATAACCATACGCTGAACGCCAATTTCTCTGCTCATTCTAGACACACATGTTGTTGCTAATCGATAACTAACGTGTACAACCACAAAAACGGCTTTTCAGATTACGTCCCCGTCGACCTTCGGCATACACGCAGCTACAACTGGGAGCAGCAGCTAACGTTTAACCCAAAATCACGTGCTGAAGTTACTACACGTGCAAAGGCGAGAAATTGCTCAATAAAACTTTCTTTCACACTAAAATATGGAAACTAGTTGGGTAAACACTAGAACGTTTTTTTAAAACCACTGTATTTGGTTTGTAGTAGTTCCTTGGTGTTACCATATGTTAACTTTGTGACATCAGCGTCACCGGCGTTAAGCTAACTAGCTTATGTTTACTACTAGCAGACCAGCTGGAACCGGCCTGACTTTACTTTGCTATTCTAAGCTAATTTGTTTGACAGGTTGATATAAACGTCGTCGAAAGGTAAAAAGTCGTTTTCTTGATTTGGACTCCCATTTTTTAAGAACGCCAATTATAAAAACAGTACAGCTGTGTGAACGACCTTCAGATAGCACGAACTGTGTAGACCAGAGAACAGGAAAAACTGAAACAGGTTGGCAATCATTAGCCGAGGTGAAAGCCTCCAGGCCGCGTACTTACCATGTTATCGTAATCTTCGTCTTCTACCCTGGTCAGCGCCGGTAGACTTCACTTATCTGACCCCGTTCCTATCCTGTAAATGATTTAAACTGCGAAATATCTGCTGCTTTTAAGTAGTAGAGTCCTCTTCTTTGTCGGTTGTAACTGCCGTCTCCAGCACACTCCTCGGGCGCGTGCTCCTGTTTCAACAGTTTGCCTCCCGCACCGTAACTTTAACCAGTGACTAGCTCGACAGCGCTCTTTCGATAAATTTGCGATAAAATACCCACTTGTACCAGTAGATAAGGTAATTCTGGCTCAATTGCTCATTTCTGACTGTCAGCGACGCCGCGGTTACTGCAGCATGTGACAGCTGCTTCTTCAGACTGCCTGTCTGCCTCGGTCCGACCCAACAGGCTGCACCCCGCCCGCTCCGACCTCCAGTACAACAACGCAACTGCTGTGACCTCCCCGGCGAGGCCACTGCAGAAGAGGGTTGATGTAACCATGAGAAACACGTAACAACTAACTTCATCTTGTGAAAGTTTGCATTTTTAGCCGGTGATAAAGCAGCTGGCACATTTAAAAGTCGACCCCCGGTTTCTATTTAGTAAACTTAATGAATCGACAAAAATCTAAGTTTCACAGAAACTGTTTTTATCAAATGGGGAAAAATAGATAAAACAGATTTACAAGGCTACTGACCACTGTATCCATTTACTGTACAATATTTACACTGAATACTTGGCGAGTTTTTTTTTTAGCTTGGATGCTTTAATAAAGACCTTCATCTCACCTGCATTGTTTCCTCTTGTTTCTCACATTATTCTTAGGAACAATTTATAAAGTCTCTTGTTTTAAATTCCCCTAATTAACGTTTGTGCACCTTTGTGAAACATATTTTTTCCATCCACCAAACTTTTTTAAGTGACCTTTTTTGACTAAGCCTTCTCATAAAGCATATCAATGACTGCAACAAGTACCATTTCTATGTTTGCTAATTTTTACACATTTCAAGTAGAAAAAATAACTAAGCTTAGACAAAGTTTGAACATTTTGGGCAACATCAAACCTAAAAATTTAAACCATGTTTAAAACATGGTGATATGTAAACTGATGAGTTGGTATTTTTGTTTGTATATTTAAAATTATGTACTTCTGTTACTGAACCAGTTTTTGAAAAAAAAATATATATATATGCAGAGAAATGTGTTATTGTATTAATGAGCAAAGAACTCATCTCCAGAGTCCTGTTTTTACTTTGCAGGTCAATGGAAAACCTCAAAGGTAGTCAATATTTCATTTTTCTATTCAGTCATCCAACATATTAAGACATAAGGAAGTGAATGAGGGTATAAACTTATTGGAATGCAGTAAAGCTGTTTTTATTTGCCCCATAACAAATCGTTTTGGAGGATTAATGATGGTATTTTACTGAATAAAGCTGTTTTCTAGACCAAACTGGATGGCTAATATTTGATATAACATTATGCTTGCAACTTCAAAAATTGCACAGAAACCAAATGCATTTAACTGAGTGCCACATGCTATGTACTTTATGTACAATTTAGTTTTCCAGTTAAAAATCACAAACTTTCTAAACTTAGTTTGCTTCATTTTATGCTCTTGCTAAGGTGCATGTTTGTTCTTAATGATTTATGGGAGCCCAAATTAAAATTGAAGAACTACAACCTCCTGTTCCTCCACATAATTACGAGACAAAGAAAGAACATTGTTATAAAGTCGTGAGACCTGGGATGAAGAACTTCATTTATTGCCTCCCAGGAAAAGGTCACTCTGCGCTGAAGACTCATCAGCCTTACAATTCTCATGGAAATTCAGCAGGTCCTAGTGATGTGATGCCATCATTAAAAAAACGTCATCAAAGGAGGTAATGCACCACACACTTTGTAGATGGAGAATGCAACAAAAAAGCAGCAGCTTACATGTAGTCCTGTTTCCTGTGTAACTGAAAAAACACCAAAAGTAGTAATGTACATGACAGCTGCTTTTTGTTTGATGTCATTGCACTGTTTCAGTATGTTGATGACATCCTCATCTGTAGCAAATTCCCTGCTTGGTGCACAAAATACAAGTTTCTTTATTGAAACATTTAGATGCTTTTGGCCACAAAGTTGGTCAAAATTGTAAGTTGTGCAGGAAAACGTTACATTTTTAGGACATGTTATCACTGCAGAGGGATGTTTCTTGTTCTCACAACATGTTTCTGCTGTTCAAAATATCCCCAAGCCCACCACTAAGAAATAATTTATGTCCAACATGATATATTGCAGAAATTTAATTCCCAATTGCTCTGCCTTTAAAGCCCCTTTAGAAGCCCTCAATCACGTTATGTTAGGGGAATTTTAAAGCCAAGTTAAAGTTGGCCTTAAAGGTTAATCTACTTTTCCTTAAATTAAACATCTTTGCCATCAACAAAACTATACAGAATCCCAGCTAGAATTATTACACTGCAGTTTTGTCCTTCAAGTCTAACGATGAGTCACCAAAACTAGATAAACTAGTACACCTTTTCACAAAATGCAGGGTTTTGCAACATATGCCAAGTGGAATGGAGAAATTATCAAGAAAAGTCTCATGCCTTACCTACTAGGATGAAAATATTTATGATCGACAGATCTAGCGACAAATAATGAGACAAGATTTTTTTTTTAACCCAGACTTAACTAGCTTTAATGACTAAAGTTAACACCAAATTTTATTTAAATTTTTGCAAGTACACAGGGAGTCTCCCATGTACCCGCCAACCTACACTTCAAACATAATTTGTGCATTTTGCATCATCTTGTGAAGGCAAACTTAGAAAAGGTCTCTAATCCTGAATAGCTCAAACAGTTGTTCCCATCAGGCCTTTGCATTTCCAACCATCTGTGATGCCTGTTGGCTCTGTTGTAATTGCTGGATCTTCAGATTCATTACTTCAATGACCGCTGAAAAACAGAAAAAGTTATTTTTACCAATCTGCCATTATGCGGGATAAGTATTTGCCTCTATGTTAAATCAGATAACTAACTGATTAACTACTTTTTTGGTTCACTAGCTATGAAAATGCTCAGAGCTCTTGATTTATCCTCATATTACCTTGTTTCATAGCGTGTTTCTCTTGAAGAGCAGGCTGAATTTTCTCTATCTGCTTTGTGAGGAAGTCTATTTTACGCTTGAAGAATGCCTTTGACTCCTCCACATTCTAGAAAGACAAAATATGATCAAGTACCATTTATTCTGACATAGTTGACAGTGGTATACATTCAAAAGCAAATATGTTACCTTTTCAACATAATATCCAGTTCCCACATCCACCAAGACATGTTCCACATCATTTAACGTTCCAGGAACGTACATCTGGGTAGAAACAGCTAAGGCACTCCAACGGTACACAACATCTTTCAATACACATTGACCAGCCATAATATGACCATTATTGGGTGAGGTCAACACACAAATCATGTCCACCTTGGCACATGTTAGTGGGTAGGATGTTGTAAATGGAAACCGAGCAATTTGTCCTCAAAGTTAGTAAGTTCACATAAATAAAGTAGGCAACTAAATAAAGTTAACAAATCTAATAAGGAACAAATGTTAAATTGTAAATGTAAAGTCTTTGATAGCGACAGTACTCCAGGATGCAGTGCAATAGAAGGATAATACACCTTGATATAAGCAAAACATTTTACAGAAATAATTTAAAGACCTTAGCAAGAGGTTGAGGTGTAGCTTTGCTCCCAGACCTCAATCCAATCTAGCATCAGTGGGCTGTGTTTGACAAACAAGACTGATTCATTTTTGTCCCCACCTCGCATCTTGCAGGCCTTAACATAATCTGATGCTAATATCCTAGTGCAAGATACTGCAGCACACCATAAAGAAATATGTTTGCTGTCACTTTTCATAGACATCTATAGATGCAATATTTAGCTTAGACATCAATGGGTGTAAAAGCCGTTTCCTTGAGTGATGCTGTTTTAATTAAGATTGAAAAAAATAAATCCACGATGTTAACCGAGGCTTGAGTTTAGTATGAAACTATATAGACCTATAGATAAACGGCTAATAAGCTGCCAGTGGCAGCATGTCTTTGATTCCTATTAGTCTTATTGCAATATTCTGATCGATTGATGGTGTAGAATGATGAAAAGGATACAGAACTGGTGAGAGGCACAAGCAACTCTTTTCCTGTTCAAGAAAACAAAGAAAGCATAGTTACCAGATAATTTCATCAATTATGAATCAAAAATAGCTGAAGAACGAAAACTGTAATCCTGGGAATTAGATTGGTAATGTTAACATATTTATTCAGACATGTTTTAAAATAACTGAATAAGAATAAAGCATAATCTATAAATACCATTTAGTTTAATTTTCCTACATTCTATTTAAGCAGAAATGTAGTTTACGTACCTTTATTGTTTGAGTTTAGGACAGTTAAGCTGTCTTTTGCTTCAACAAACTTGTTCTGGGCAATTTTCAGCTGACTTATGGAAGACGTCAAGAACTCAACCTCCTGAAATAAAACATCAGCAATTAAAAATGAGCACAATAAAGGGAAGCATTGATATTAACACGCTGCAGCTGTATAAGAATCGACAGCAGTAGCGTTGGAGCCATTTTCCTTTTAATTGGGGGAAATACTGTTATATAGTCACACATGACAGATAAACTAGTATTTAAAATACTGAAAAAAGAAACAATACCTGGTCCAGTTGGCCTTTTAATCCTTCCAACTGAGGAAGGGAGAGGTCTGTGAGATTCACCGCCATATTGGAAGCGTGATGAGCAACGAGCCTCACTGGGTGCGCACCATTTGTCAGCCGGAGAACAGAGAGTTGCGCCGGGTTGGCGGAGTTTATTCACAATTTTAAATGGGGAATCAGATACCCAACATGCTTCGTCCAGATAAACAGTGGGAATCAGAGATTTATTTTTGGTGTAGCAAAAGGAAACATTAATTTAATGACGAATATGCACACTAAATATGCAGACCATCGCAAATCACATACTGTGCCGCAGTATTAAGCAACAAATAATGTCTAACTCTGTCATCCTTATTACGAACGTCCTTAATAACGTAATAAGCACAGATCCCTTGGTTTTCCCTCGTTAGCTAAATACATTGCCCTCGTTTTGAAGATGCAAACTCCCCCGCCACTTCGTCATCGCTTCTACCCAAGCCATGCACCGGCTGACTGTTAAGAAATATCCCATTAATTGTGCTTCCGACTGAGAGATGGAGCGAGATTGATCTAAAACACTGCCCCCCTGTGGTCAAAATGGCATCTATCAACGCTTTAGGCCAAATAAATTTAAAATCTCCAATCTGGAAAGAATTAATCTGTTACACCGTTACTCTCATTTATGTTTTCCAAGAGGGGATTTAATAATTGTGTGCAGGAGTTGATTGAAGCTCATCCATTCTGAAAAGCATTTTCTTTACTATTCAATAAAAAAATACTAATACAAAATAAATTATCTTAAATAATAATTTAAAAAAAACTGCATCACAAGGCATTTTAGTAAAAAACAAACAAACATAGTCTAAGTGATGTTTAAAAGATTGCATTTAATATCCATATAAGACAGAAACTTTACCAACAATCCTGCCTTTGTTTTAATGTTACATAAATGAAAGAAATTAGTTTGTTTTTAGTAACATTTAACAATAAAATGGTTATTTCCCTATAGCAATGTATCACAGCATGTTTTTCTAACATTACAATCAATATATTCCTGGGTTTTAACATACAGGTGAAACATTTTGAAGAAAACCCAACATACCGCACATCCGAGCCATTTCACCCAAAAAACAGGGCACAAAAATAAACCTTTAAAATATTACATTTTTAAACCACGAACAACTCGAATGAAAACAATTAACTTAAGAAAACTAATAACAATTAAACTTCAGAGCAGAGCTACGCCTCATGTGAGTGTTGACACAGCAACACCTGGACACTCGTACGGCAGGTGAATTCATGACCTGTGGTCGGCAGCTCCTGTTGTGGGAATAGATGCCTTCCCTCCTGCAATAAAGAAAAACTATTTTTTTAAAGATAATTATATTTGACGGCTGCTAATCAGTATTCAAGTACATTTTCGGGTATGCATGTATAAAAATGTATTATCGGGACATGAGGTTTTTACCTGCAAAAACCCACAGACTGAGGGGACGACTGGACAAAAAGTGCAAACGTATAAATGAATGGCTGGATGTATAAACGGATGGTTAATGGAAAAAGATGATAAATGGAAAATGGACAAACCAAGGGACACATGGAGGAAAAAATGGACTAGTTGATGGAAAACCACTGTAGTAAGTGAAATAATAAAAACAGGAGATTCTCTTTTAAGAGAAATCTCAGCTTACCTTTGATGATTAAACATTTCTCCTCAACAACTGACTCAACCTTTTCCACCTGCTTTGAGACGAGGTCTATCTGCCGCTTTAAGAAGGCCTTGGCTTCCTTCATGCTCTACACAGGCAAAAAACATAACGAGCTTTTCGTACTGAGAATACATCTTCACCTGGACTTAAACTTTATTTACAATGTTTTATTTTCACTGAATCGATTCAGTTCATCTGTGGATTTTTCACATTTTGCAGATCGTTCAGTTTTTGAACTTTGTCAATTTATTAATCTCACTTTCTTATTAAACACACAACAGATCCCGACATTCAAACAAAGATGATAAAAACAAAAGAAAGAAAAAAAACCCCTACTAAACTACAGCACTGGCTTACAAGATGTGATAAAAACACAATATCTCATTTCTCATCAGACACAACTTGAACTTATTAGTTCTACACATAAGTTTTCAAAAGCAAGCACGCGTTACCTTTTCCACATGAAATCCGGCCCCGATGTTCACCAGGACGTGGTCCGCGTTTAAAGCTCCGGGAACATACATCTACATCAACAGTTCAGGTCACGGATCTGAAATCGCTGCTTTTGATTTATATGCCACCACAAAGAAATCACCCGGGATCATATTTAGTTGAGTGGTAAGTTCGTCTTGCAAAGTCCGCTGGTGTTTAAACTAATGTGTACACTCACTGATGATGAGGCGGTGGGCTTTGTAAGCAAATCCAATCATGCTGGTGTACTACAGCGACATCTCTAAAGATCATACTGTGAAAAAGTTGACTCTTTCTGCTTCATTCTTTTTTTTTTTCTAAATTGACCTTATTTTCTAAGATGCTGAACTTTTGGGTTTTCACAATATGTAAACCATAATTAGTAAAATATGCTCTTTATAGTATTAAAATCCAAAGGTAGAGGCCATTGATTTCACCATGAGATGTCAATAAACCAACACTAAAAGTAACAACGGCTGCTGGATGGACAGATTCAAACATTTATTGTGATGAAAACACCAGACTCAAAGGATACATAGCTAGTGAGGGGCACAAGGAATTCTCCTGTTTGTGATGGGATAGAAATGAAAGGATGACTACACACACACACACACTTTGATACTTCATCTCTGATAAACACTAGACATAAAATAATAATCCAACCATTCAAACCTCATAGTATTGAATAAATAAGGATCAAGCTGGACTATGACAACAACAAAAAAAAACTTTTTTCGATCTTCCACACACCATTTCTGTTTCTGTTCATGATCTCTACGCTCTCCAGTGAGTGAGCGTACCGGGTCTGGGAGTCTTTCAGCTGTCTGACTAAACACACCAGGAACTCGGCTTCCTGAAAGAAACATCAACAGGAATAAGAGGAGCAGGCGTCAGTGCAAAACAAACAGCAAACGAGAATGATTCCAAAACATTTAACATAAAAAGCACTTTGATGGTGGATTCATCTATTTACCCAAAATGAGCTCATTCTCATTGCCAGATGGAAAACAGTGAAATTTAATACTTGTTTTGGTACTAATTAGCTACCAAATATAAGCCAATAATATGTATTACCCCCATTTTGCGTGTTCAAACAGTAGAGGAACAGGTTCACAAATAAAGGGAGAGCAGTACGAGATCTGACACTGGATTATTATAGTATAAATAATCAGAAGTGCTAACAGTAAAATGTCTGAACTCACATAGTGCTTTTCCAGTCATACTGCTTCACATTAGAGCCATATTCACAAACATATTTATAAGTGCCTTGCCCAGGAGCAGATTGACATGCAACAGGAGGAAGGTGGACTTGAACCTGCAACCTTCCAATTACAAGATCAAAAAGGTCTCCCAAAATATATGTACGGGAAAGGTTTCCAACATTGTACACACACCACATCTATATTTGATATGAAACTTCAGGCTAAAAAAAAAAAAAAAAAACTTTTTTTATTCTCAACTAGAAAAATATGCAAAAAGCCAAATTCGAGCAATTTCCCAGTATAAATGGTGTACATATATCAGCTTCTCCTCAACATCAAGCAAATCTATTACTAGTTTTAGTATAAACACTTTCTAAATGGTTAATAATTTACCAAGAGGATTGACAGATTAATAGAAAAACATTAGTTGTGACATGTTGCTATGGAGCAGAAATGCTAAGTGAAGGGGCTGGGATGCAAATAAAGTGGATTTTCATCAATAAGGCCCATCATTCTTGCGCAGTATTTTCAATTATTTGATATGTAAGGACAAAAAAGCTGATATAAGGACTTTAAAATAAAAGCAGTTCGTTTATAAAAGCCATTAAGACTCAACACAGCTGTATGTTTTGGTAAACGAGTGTGGACATTTGGTATTTTTTTAAATTTCAATTCAAAAATCCTTTCCAAAGGGAGATTAGATATTGTCGCTCATATCATTCAAGTATCTTCAAAAAGCGTGAATAGTGACGGCGTTGACGGGCTCTGCTAACCCACTTCATTTGCTTTTGCCGCTACTTTTTAACATAGGTAGAAGACGCTACAAATACGATGCAAATTTTAAGTTCAGAAAATACCAAAGCTAAAAATGTGAAGAACCAAAAGAAATCTCGAACATTCAAAAATGACTTTGAACGTTGGTTCAAAGTCATTTTGTTCCACTGGCCTTTAGCATTCCCCCGATAGTTGGGCGGTTACAGACACATGAAGCTAATGGTAGCGTTAAACGATTCGTCCCGTTTCATTCCAGGTCAGTGTCCTCATATAGTAAAAACAAATAGATTAAAACCTGTTGTAGTTCATTAAAGCACTCCAGGCCAGGCTGAGAGAAGCTTGGGAGATTTACCGCCATGATGCAAAAGAGCCGAGAGAAGAACTTTCATGTTTCGAACTAAAATGATTTTAAACACTGCCCCCATGTGGACGAACCAGGATCTACACTAGAACTGTCATACAAGCTCCAAAGGGGATTAAACGGGAAGATAAAACTCATGACAAGCACAACAACCCAACAATACTTTATTTCCAGTACTTATTATCGAATCTTTTACATGCCAACAAATTTAATAGCTGAGCTGTTTTAACTCCTATTCATTCTTAGCAAAAATAAAACATCAAACAAAGTGATGATTTAAAAAATACTTTAAGACTTGCATCTCCATTCAAAAGGATGAATACTATAGGTCTACAGAAAACCTCTGTGTATATATATATATATATATATATAAAAAAAACACATCCAAAACAGACTGGATGTGTTGTCTCATTTATTCAAAAATATGCAGCAATTTTAAAAACAAAATAAAAAAACAAAAACAAAATGAGGGTTAGAAAAAAAAAACATTCAGTATTCATAATAAAGCGTCATGGGATTGGATAAACAAAATGTTTATTGTTTGTTGCTAGGTATTTGAAGGCTTCCAGTCCTACTGCAGGTGGATGGGCAGCCCATAGGCGATGGGTGCTGCTCCTATGAGGTATTTAAGGTGCGTGGCCTGACGCGATGACTCTATGAACTCCAGGAGCGGCGCTCCGGATCCTGCAGAGAACCAGGACTCCAGCAGGACCTTGGTGAAGCGATCGATGTCCCGATCAGTTACATCCCACAAATTGCCCAAAATGAAGGGGCTAGGAGAAAAAAAAACAACACATTTAAAGACATCGCA